CCTGCTGGCCACACTCTTCTTGATGCACTCCAGGATCCCATTGGCTTTCTTGGCAGCCAGGGCACACTGCTGGCTCATGGTTAACCTGTCATCCACCAGGACGCACAGAGGATCAAACTGTTGGCTCCACGCCAGCAGAGAATGAACACGTAATAAAAAGCCTGCCCACGCTGTGTAGTCTATGATTGCTTGAAACACAAGGCTCTGAAATAAGTTCACCAAAAGGCATTGGATAGCCTCCTGGATCAGATCTGGCTAAGATGGATAAAACAGGGCAAAGCATGTGGGGGTATGAGGAGAAAGGATAGCATACACAGATTAAGAGAAAATATGGACAATGAGGGGTAAGGGGTAAGGACAGATAAAGGAGATAAAATGACAATGTAAATAGGTTTTCCCTCCTAATTATACAGTAACAACATGTGTAGCAAAATATCTTTGCTCTATCTCTATTGCTGTGCTGTATCTATGCTCCCCTTCAACAACAGCACACAGACTCTGCTCAATAAACCAAAAATCTCTTTAATGCAACTCAAGGCTATCAGTGAACTAATTTTAACTTCAACATCTCATTAATTTAAAGAATGGTATTTTCATCAACAATCTCAAGATTAATCAATGCATATTATTGCCATAGGTAAGATGAAATCACCCAGCTACTCATGCTTCATTTGAAAAATAATGTGGGTAACATTTGGGAACTGACGGGCACTCAAATGCTCTCACACAAAATTCTACTAACTAGAGTTTTGAATGCTGGTCCCAAAAGTTTCAGATCTTGCTGATGTGCTTAGTGTGTGCAGAGTGGGAAAGGTAAAAGAAAAAGAGAGCTGAAAAGCAAAAGTATTTGTTTAAATGAAAAGTTGTCCTACTCTGCAGTCACAAGCATGTCACCAGTGTGTAAAACCTATATAACTCTATTGACTAGGCAGCAAATTCAGTGGATAAGAGATATATGAAACTCGAAGCTGGAAAGGAGATCTAACCTTTCCTTCAGCCAATGAAGCAATGTTGCTACAGCCTCACTTATTTCTGAATATTGTGTTTAGTCCAGTTTTAAATTATGCAAAAATGAAAGTTTGACCATATACCTTCAGAAAGCTCTCTGAGATAATTAGTGACAAAATGGGCATTTACACTTGTCCCTCACCTTACTGTACTATCGTTTACTCTGGCTAATGTGGTAAAGATAACAATCTAATGCCCACTTTATTGCAATTTGCTGTTTACAGTTAGAACGGTTTTTCAGCAGTCAATTTCCTTTCGAAGAAAACTATCTTTAGTAAATTTAGAGCTCATCATACATAATTGAAGGATGTGATTAAAAGAAGGGAAGCATTTTTCCTTAGACCTGCTATTAACTTGTCCAGACATCCCACTTTATTCTTCATATGGAGCATAACTAATCTGATGATTTCAGTGTCCCTTTGACCATAATCTGCTCTGATCTGAATTTGAAGATTGCTAGTGAAAATAAATGTGTATGTATTTGTATCTCAGCTGCCTGCAAAGGGTATCATTTTTCTACCACAAGCACTTAAAAAGCTATTAGAGGAGCAGAAAGGAGAGAAACGACGAACAGCGAGAAAAACGTGTATACAGCATGGACTCTGTGGAATAGGAAAATTATCTCTCTTCCATATTTGTACTTTTTGGTCGGATTGTACTAACAAGTCAGTTTGGCATCACACAAATAATGTCATAATAATCAATGAGCCGTGGTTATCTTGTATTTGACATATGACATTTTCTTCAAAGCTCTCTTTCAATCAGAGTATAGCAAAAGCACCCCTTTTCTGATCTTCTAGACTTGATACCTAAGGAATTAGAACTGTGATATGGACAGATTTTATTTCTGACAGAAAGCATGTGACTTACATAAAGTGAGGATAAGGTTAATTCTCTGAGTAGATTTCAGTGCTATTCAGCTGTCACAACAAAGCCTTACGGGTGTATGCAGCATGAGCTGATAGATTGAAGTATTTTTTTGTACATTCTTTTATTTAAGGATGTAATGTAAGTATTTTTAAATTCACATTTGTGACTAACTCTTAATTAAATGCTGGAAGGGAACTCCCACAAGTACGACCGAAATATTGACCCACAGTACAGTATATTGTCCTTTGCGTATACTCATGGTCACTTACTAAACTGTGATTTACAGAGTGCCATCATTTCTAAAGCATTTCTGGGAACTAGGTATTTTATAAGAAGTGCATGCATGTGTTCCTAGAAGTTTTTTATTTCAATATAATATCAATATATAATTTGTGCAGGTACATGAAGGCACACATAGAAAGTAATACTTAAATTTTCTTCCTAGAAATAAGAAATTAATCCTACAGAAAGGATGGATTACTTTTTCAAACAAGACATTAGAGATTTCTAAACTACCTTCCCAAGACAGGAAAGAATACTCTCAGTTTGGAACTTCGCAAGAAAAGAGGATTATATCCCTAACCACAACTCCTGAAAGGCAACTTTTATGTTTGTTTTAATACATTATAAAGTCACCTGATTTTCTCCTTTGAAGACATATTACAGGTTAGTTTTTGGAGCCCATAATACTATAAACACATAGTTTCAGAGTAGATGAGGATGTGAGTTTGCAACAAATGATTCACAGGCTTCTGAAGTACCCCTTCATCAGGGATTTCTAAGGTCTTTTATGACTGGCCGCAGGCTCCTAGGTACCTGTATTAATTACAGCAAGTACTGAGATGACACAAGACAGTCTAAGACTTTATAGCACCAAGAACCAGTATTCTATGAGAAGTGATTAAAAGATACTAACACACACAGCTAGGTAGGACAGTGGAACACTGTTGTATGACAGAAGACCATTAACTGCAATCTTTCAATATCATTAGTATCTTCCTACGGTTCAGAAGAATTTGACATCCATACCTTGCAGATGCAGGGACCTACGCAAGGGTCAACATTCACACTGCCTTTCAGCCAGCAGTTGCAGGGCAGGCACTCAGGATATCCTGTATAACCCAAGGCACATCTGTTGCAGCTCTTTCCTGCATAGCCAGTCTTGCAATGACAGAAGCCAGGCAACATATCTATGGGAAGAGGAAGAGAACATGAGACGGATCTGATTTTGTTATAGTTGTTGTTGTTGTTGTTGTTGTTGTTGTTGTTGTTGTTGTTGTTATTATTATTATTATCAGATATGTGTGTCAGAACGCTAAAAGCAACTTGGCAGGTGTAACATAAGGGCATTTACCGTGGGTCGGACCGTACACCTATTTAACTCAGTATCCTGTCCGAGAAAGGCTAGAATAAAGCATGTAAGAAGAAAGCAAGTATCTGTAGGGTATCCACAAGGTATAGAGCAACTTGAATTCTGAGCTTCCAGAAATCTGAGTATTAGACATCTTCTAAACTGAAACTTACCCCTGCTTCCCTGCATCTAGCAGTCCCTAAAAAACGTATCTTCCATTAATTCACCTAATTGCCTTTGAACATGCATTTACTTTCAGAAACCGTAAAGCTCCCTAGCTGTAAGGTCCACATTTAGCCATGTGTAGTGTGAAAGAAAACACTCGTCTGTTAAATCTATTATTTATTGACCTCTAATTCTCATATTATAGAAAACAGCAAGTAACTCACTTTCTCCGTGTCATCTGTGATTTCAGTATACCTCTGTCATATGCCACATGACAGTTTTATTTCATACACCAAAAACTCCTAGGCCTATTTAATATGTCTTTACACAGAAACTGCTTTGTATGGCTGAAAAACTCTGTTGTCCTCTGCACTGTTTCCAGTTCTAATAAATTATGTAGGGAGAAGGAAGTGCATAGTGTGGACCTATAAATGGTATGCTGATTTTTCCAGTTTTATTTTTCAAACATCAGTAATATTTCCTAAGGCTCTGTTGACCTTTTTGATTACTGCTGAGCCAGCACTGATGTGATATATCAAGCGCACAGTCCAAGGTAATTCTAAGTGCTATTTCACAACTGGTAGTGCCCTATTCAGAACTTGTTGTAATCAATGTACAAGTAGAGCCACTTTTCTCTGTGTTCTACTTTTCCTTTAATTGCTACAGAAATTCATCAGTTATTTTACTACCCAGTCACTGACTATCTTGAGATCTTTCTGAACATTTTGCAGTTCTTTCATTTTTCTATGCTGAAAGATTTGTACTTGCTAACTTTGTCACCTTCCTACTCATCCCTTTTCCAGGTTAAATATGAGTGTTTTCAACAGTTCATATTGATCATCCATGTGAAAATGGTCCATTTATTCTTTTAACCATGCATTAATCCATGAAAGAACCTTTCATCCTTATTCTATTGCACTTTCTTTAGTTGTCTTTGGTGAAGGATCTCATCAAAACTTTTTGAAAATCAAGATACAATATTAATCAAATCAGCCTTTGTTCACATGTTCATTTAATCCTTCAAACAGATTCATAAGGCACACTGTCCTCTACGAACAGACCTGATACTGAGTTTTGCCCATTTTTGCCACAGTTCAGAAATGGTATGAATCATTTAATGTAGTTCTATTGATTTGCTTGGTACAGAAACCAGACCTGATTTTAGTTTCCTGGAACCCTCTGCCCTTCTTTTACAACTTGGATAAACAATTTCTATTTATGTAATATTAATGCAATTTTTAAAAATTTTTATAAATTCTATTTAATGCTTCAAGCAACTCCATTTTTAACTACATCCAGAAGGCACGGACAAATGCGATGCATGCCTGACGAATTTTTACTCTTCATTTATCAGCTTGCTCTAAACCTGAAACTTCTGTTTGAGACAGTTGTCCTGACTGCTCTCCATGAACAAAGACTCCCAAGTAGGAAATTCCCCGAGCTTTTTTATTCAGTGATACAAAGAATTAATCTAGCTTTTCTGCTGCGTCCTTTTCTTTCTTGAGATCTCCAGTTATAACGTTACACCTTAATCATATTTAACTCCTAGTGATTTTGAATCTCTAGCAGTCTTTTTGATTTTGATTTATCTGAAGAAGTACTTCTTAGCAACATTCAAGCATTTAGCAAATTATTCCTGAAAATATGTGTACATGTTATTAAGAGTACGGTTTTCCAGAATCTGTCACAATTTATGTCCTTTTCTATTATCCTCAACTGGATATAACTTCTGCTTTTTCAGGGAGCTTCTTTTTTATTGTTTAAATAGATTTTTTTTTCCTAGCTTAATTGCGTTGCTTGAATAATTTGAACTAGAGGAATACATCTTCTCTGAATGTCTAATATGCAGTCTATAAAACCTATGCTTGCCATTAGCAATCTTGGACTGTTCATTCTGATTTTCATTTTAAAGGTTTCCTTGTTTTGATTAAGTTGGTTTTTTAGGGAGGCCTTCTCATTCCTACAAGAACATTGAATTTGACTGCCCTTCAAGAGGAGAGTTTTAAACCAGTTCCTCATGCATAAATCCAGAGGTGCTTCTCTTTTTATGATTTCTCTAATTAGCTGTTTGAAGAAGCAGTCACCTACAGGAGTTTTAAATTATATTATCTGTTAATCTATACAGAGATGAAGTTCAATCTGTTTTCTGTAGCCTTGCAGCCTCTTCGATCTCACATAGCACATCATATTGATTGTCACCTTCTTGATCCGTCCTAATTATATACAGAATTTCAGTGCATTAAATTTCTGTGTTACTATGTACTCCATGCTTTTGGTGCCTGTGGCCCAGCCGATTCTCAAATTCCTGAGTCACCCTCCTCTCAGCTAGCAACCAGCAAGTTCCCACAGCACAGCAGGCTTCAGGCTCTTTTGTAACCTAGCTGGACAGTCTTGTCTTACAAGACATCCAGATAAAAATACCCTGCTGTCAACCAGGGT